ATCTCGATCTCCACTTTCTCCTTTATCTATTTCGCAAGCGACTCAAGATGATACTGTTCAAGGATTTCAGTCTAAGGGTTTAAATTTTAACTTTACTAATTGTAAAGTTAAAATTTTTCTTAGCCGTTGAATAGTTTTTTTTTAAAAAAATTGTAATATTATTGATGTAAATCTGCTGTAATAACTGCCCGGGTTGTTATTAAAGGGTAATATCCCGGCTATGCTTAAAAACTGCTAAAATACTTCCCAGTTATATGTGTATACATAATAAAAAAATTGGGGTATTTTACTTAATAATTTACTGGATTAATAATGTACTAACTGGTTGCAAATTACCTCCTGGAAAAAATCATGTGAGAGAGTTGAGCCAGGGTATTATTGACAAAACTCTACTGACGTGAAGCAGTTGTTGAATTTTAGTACCTAGTTGTCCCAAAACAGTGATAATTACTGAGGTTATTGTTAATAGTCTCGAAATAATGTAGGTGCTCGTTGAATATAACACGACTCTTTCGATTCATTGATTACTCGTTCTTTTAGATTAGAACGATTCTCTGAGTCGATCAAATTTATTTCTAGGTTGCAACACGGCATTTTTAAATAATATGCCATCAAAGGCAATTTGAATCGATTAAGATATACTTTTTAAACGAACTCTTGCTATCGTAAAAATTAGGAGTTATAAGAATTAACATCTGATATACATATTACATACTACTAATAACAAAGATGCTCGTTTTTGGAGACTCTTTTGTATAATTGTAAAATTTTATTTAAAATCAATGTTCTAATTTTTTATCTCTATTTTATCTATTTTCCATGAGAAATGCAAAATTTTTAATTCATATAATTATTAACTATCGATATTCTATAAAAAAGTTGTAAGAACTCAAAAAGAATTAAAAGAAATTATTTTGAACCGACAAAGAAAATTATCTAGCTAAGTTGAAATACTTCATATTCATCCATTGAATAATAAGTTCCTACCGAACTTTTAATTGGTTTTTCATATGAACTATGAATACTAAAACATTGTCGTTCTGGACCATGACTACTACTCATACCTAAATCAGTACCATCACCAAAAAGTGGACCACAAGAAGGAAAGCAACGAATTGCACATTCTGGACTCTTTACACGACTTAAAATAGAATTTTGAATATTACCATTTTTTAAAGAAAAAATGAAACTACTATTACATCTCTTATAACCACAAACTGATTTATCCCATTCAATAGGATTATATCCACCAAGGATTTCATCAGTGCCTTTAACTTTAACGATTATAATAGTGTTTGCTTTCTTATCACATAACTTCCAAAATGTTTCATTACTAAACCCATCTCTACTACCACGAAGAAGTAATTTAAATTCATATGGAATGTTTGTTGAATCATAATTAACATTTTTTCTATCAATCCATGAAGTAATTTCAGCTGCATGATCTCTAGTAATAATTTTTGAAAATGAATCAGTTGATTCGACAAATAATTTTTGACTAATACGTGATGGTAAAATTTTTGATGAAATTTGTTGACTAGGTGCCATAAATTTTCTAATTAAATCTTCCCAAAGATTTTTTTCTAAAATATCTTTAAATGGTAAAACATAATTCACAATATCTTCTCCAGGAAGTTGAAAGTAACGAATATAAGGTAAACAATTTTTTAGAGTAACCTTCAAAGTCATAAAATTTTCGTAAGACCAATTTTTGGTTTCGGATACAGGGTATAAATTCGAATTTTGAGCAATTCCCCATTCAATAATACGATTCCAAATTTTAATTTCATCAACCTGTAAATCATCACGTTTAATAAGTGAAATAAGATCACTTTCTTGAAGAGATGTAAAAACTTCGGAATTAAAAATATGATTTGGATATGTTGCTACAATGTTGACACACCATTTTTGTAATTCCAATAAATTGTTGTTTTGAAAGCTTGATTTATAAACACTTTTAAATTGTAATCGTAACCAATCATCTTTATATTCAATTAACTCAGCTTCAAGGAATTGCGCCAAATCTTCAAGGGTTAATTCACAAGCGACTAACATGAGATCAAAAATGAACGATTCATCAAGATCTTCTAAAGAGATCACGCCTCCATATATATATCTTAATAAAAATATTAATTAAATACACGTAAATTTTTAATCGTTATTTTTATACGCAGTTCTTGTAGTAATAACTTTAAAAAAAATGATATTTCTAAACTTACCTAATAATAATTTCAAATTGTTGAATAGAAATATGAGGCTTTAAACTAATTCTTATTATATCGTTCGACATTTTAGTTGTATTTTCTAATTCATTACGAAAGTACATAGATCTATATTTCAAAATAGCCGAGTGTGTTTTGTATTCTTTAATGAATGAAGATTTTCCAACTTCGATTATTACATTAAAATCTTCACCACTTTCATAAAGTTTAATATAATTATTTGAAAGATTTTCAAAAAAATTTGCCACCATCTCTATAAATAAAGATGGGGTACACGTTCGTAAAAAAAAAAATTGGAAGATCGGTCTCAGATAAACTTTATATTAAAAAAAAAGTAATTAGGAAAGACAATCGAATGTTGATGATTTTCGCGTTTGTGTTTTGACATTTTTTGATTGGTCATGCGCAAAAAGGAAATGATACGTATGAGTACAGTAATCGTTTTTTTTTTCTTTTTCTGTTCGTAATTCTGTAATTGTTATACGTATCGATTGGAAATTCATACTATACTATATAAGGATTAAGATCGAAGGTGTAACATCATTTATTTAATTGTATCATAAATACGAAATTACGTAATTAACCCTAGTTTTGAATACAATTGACGTAAATATATGTGCTTTACATTATCGTTATAATGTGACGAGTACCCATTAAGTTAAGCAGCTATTTACAGATTTGAGATGTCAAAAAAAAAAAAATACAATGTAAGCAAAAAAAGCAAGATCCAAAAAATGTAAATAAAATTTTGCAAAAAAACAAAATTATCGTCTATTATCCCTTTAATATAATCGGCAAAAAAATCAAAAAAATAAATAGGAGTTAATTGTGCTTTTAATTAAAATAATTTCACAAAAAAAAAAATCAAACACGTCGGTCAATACTTTGATTGATGCTTATAAATTATTTATAGATTTGCAGTGCAGTGTTCGAACACATCGATAATGCGTCGAAGAATTTGATCACATTACATATAAATCAAAGCATGATATGAAGATTTTTGGAAATGCATAATGATTTTTCAACATTAAATGAATCCAACAATATGAATTTAGACAATATCAACCGTAATTGGAAAAGTGATTCGGCAATACTTAGCAGTTAGTACATCAATGTTAAAGTATTTCGTGATTACGCGCACGAATGTAAAAATGATAAATTGTTTCAGTTCAGGAAAATAGGTAAATTATATCAAGAGGGGTGAACTGTTTAATAAACGAACGGGTCTTGCTGATAATTATGTCTAATTTGAAATTCTTTGGTAAATCATTAATTAATCATTAAAGTGTGATCATTGTTAGATCGTAAAGGAATTTTAAATAATGTGTACATACATGTTTAGACACCAAAAATTAGACTCAGATCAGTTGATCAAATTTATATAAGATCTCTTTTTTTTAGCTAGCAATTCAAACAAGTCGATATTATTATTAATATAAAAACAAACAAACATATATTTAAAAGAAAAGATGAAGATCCGAATAGTGAAATCAAAAAATGGTTACAATTAAAATAGCGAAGGGCTATGCTCAAATCTTCTATAATTAATTATCACGACCATTAAAACTATTATAGTAAGGGGTATAGGAAAGAAAAATTATTTCTGTGACAGTGCAAATATTTTGATTTCATCACCAAAATGTATCAAACGTCTATAAAATGCACACATTACGTAAATCCTCTTTAAATATACACAATATATAATTTTTGTTCTCCGTCCATCTAAATATCTTTTGCCTACGGTCTCAAAGGAATATCTAAATTTTTGTATCCGAAATTATTATAAAACTATTCACACATCCATTTACAAAGTACTGTATTCGAAATTGTTATAAAAATATTCGCACCACCATTTACAATATTCATCCCACCAATCCACCCAATCAGCGTATCTAAACCCTTCTCTCAAAGTTGAAACTTCTCTACAAAATAGTATATAATTTAAATCTTAAAGCATTAAAAAAAAAAAAAAAAAACATAAATAAATTCATATATATGTAATAAATAACATACGTATCAGATTTAAGACAGTCTAAAATATAATAAAGTTTCCATGCTTCAATGGTAAAACTATAAAGTTTCACGCAAACAATGTTTTTACCTTCTTCTTTTTCATCTTCTTTGGTTTCACGTTTAAAATATACGTTATTTAGATTATCGAATTCATATTTACATAAATCGTTATTTAAAAATTCGGGAAAAATTAAATCTCCTAATTCGACTCCAAGTTTAGTTGGAAATAATATATCTTCACTCCTTTTCACGAATGCTATAAAACTGATTGTATTATCTTTGAGAGGTTCACTTATGTCATAATTAGGATTATCAAATTGAAAAGTAAATGTCTTAGTATAATTGTTATAAGTTGGTGATAATTTTTTAATTTGTTTAGTTTCGTTCCAGTATGTTAACTATAATAATAAAAGGTGACGTTATATTTATATAGGTGATTATTCTATTATTTATTAAATTTATCTTAAATAAATTTTTTAAATACCTCAAGTTTCAAGCCCGAATTTAGCCTATTGATAACGGCTTTGTGCATTACTAAAGGAACGAATATATTCCATTTTTTGCAAACAACTCGTAACGTACAAAAATCCTGAAAGCTGTTATTTATCAACAATAATAATAATATTATTATTAAATATTGAAAAAAAATAATTATCAAAATATAAAAATATAACTCACTTTGTTTCCACGACAACATAATTTAAAATTTCAATTTGCAATTCGTTAGGAAGAATTTGGATCATCTTAATTTTCCGGATCAAGCTTTTCCGATACGTTATTTTTGTCGATTTCAGGATTTATAACTTTGGTTTTGACAATCCTTACCATATTTATTTACATGACGTATGAAAAATGTTTTCTGTAACTATTTACCGTAAGGCTCGGGCTTGTAGTTCACCTAATATTAATAACGATAATGAGGGACATACCGATACGTATTACAGTATTAATTGCGAATTAAATAATATCGATATATAACGATAAATAATACAATTTAATAAGCGCACCTACGGTTTTTTAACATTATCTTGCTGGTTAATTAATTAATATGCGGTGCTTTAAGCAAAAATGCCTTACGCCCCAAACAACTCTAATCCTAACACTGAAAAAATGCATAAAAAAGTAACAAGTACAAAACTGCCATAGTGCGTTTATAATAAATGTAATAACAAAAATTTAAAACTAACAAAGTTATTCCTGTATTCAATCTTAATTATTATTCGTATGATCAGAACATATGATTTTTTTCTTATGGTATCATTGTACAACAAAAAATGTCACATGCTAGTAATACGTAATACAGTAATATCGTATGATAAATGACGAGACGTTTTTGCATGTCCGTAATTTGTGACAGGTTAAACCACTAATTTCAATTATCGTCCCAGCGTAAATCTTGATTGTTATAAACTA